AGTAGCTGTGGGCTTGGTCCTCATAGCTGGCTGGGGTGGAGCAAGGGTTTCAAACAGGTATTCTGGACCAATGCGTCCAGATCACAAAAATGTAGAGCTGTTATGTGCTGACCAGGCAAAATTAATAGCACCTTGGGTCACACAGCAAAGACAGAGGAACAGGACAATATGGCTCGCTAGAGAGATCTGCTGCAAATGTACAGGTGTGAAGGGCTGGGCATATAAAAGGACTGTTCAAACGTTCAGTTTTCCATGGGGCTTAGAGCAGGGGCAGGTGGGGACTTACTGAATAACAGAACAAACAATTCTTTTGTGAATTACCAGCAAAATCTGAATTTTTTTTTTTTTAAAAAAACCCTCTCAGTTGTATTTCTCATTACCACAGAGAGCCAAAACCACATATATATGTTTGATCTTTACTCACTGTGGCCATTATGAAAATGCATCTTTTCTTCTTCTGGATCTTGTTTAGCCTTGCTATAGCCACATCGCCTGGAAAAAAAAAAAAAAACAGAAGAGTGTTTTTGTCTCTGGTATGGCAGAACCCCGCTCTTTACTTCAAATCACACAAAGCACAAAAACCCAGAGCAGCGACGAATCCGACCTCTCTAGCGGCTGTATTGCTGCTGTCCCAGTTTTAGCTCATCAAACTTGCAATTTTCCTAACGGGATTCAGGGCCCAAGGCCCACTGATTTTCAATTGGACTTGTGTTTCCAAATCCCACAGATGGTTCTGAACAACTCCACTCTACCATACATCTAATTCAGTTATTATTAAGAAGAAAAAAAAGCAAGAACAGGAAGGACAATGGAAGGGGAATGGGATGAAACATTAGAATCGCAAAAGCAAGATCTCCTGGACCGCAGAGCTTTTGCAGGCACCATGTTGTATGTACCGCATGCTGCCCTTCATCCACTGGGCATTTGCACAGAACTTTAAATTTTGATACTTTAGAAAACAGCCTTGTGTAAACATTAACACCTTATACACATGCAAAATAATGGCTTAAAAAACCCAAAACCTGTTGCCTCACTGCCTTCAAGGGTCTCCTATGTATTCCTGGCTCTGATGGGGTCTCCTGCACATCTCCTGTCTTTAAGCAGGGGAGTTACCATTCACGCAATCCGCTCTGCCCAGCAGCAATAAAGATGGAAGAAGGCACCCAGTCACTGCCTGACTTATCTTGCTCCCACGTTAGCACCAGGCAGTGCAAGGATGCTGCTGAATCCTACCATGGAGTTGCAACCACAGCCATATGGGAGTCACATCTCCCCCAGGGCATCCCCCTATTAGTCTTTGGCTGCTCTTCCCTGACTCACCCCTACCCTTCTCCCTGGTTCTCTAGGTGATGTTATTGCATTAGCATTAACTGGCTGCTTTGGTGGCATTTCTGAGACCTGCTTCACTTAAACAACCATGTAGGAAGCCACTGCATAGGCAAGGAGAACTACTATATACACACATATATATACATTTAAAAATACAGAATGAGGTATGTATGATGCACATATACATGCCTATTTTTCCAAGGACCTGATATGGTAACTGGATACAGGAACTGGATCATCCTTAAAGCAAACCACATGGACATAAGACAGAGGGACACTGCTTGGTAGAGTGAAAAACCTGCAACAGACACTTGCAAGCCAGCCAGCGCGCAGTGGGATCGCTAGCTGGCACACCTCAAAGAAAGCCTCAGGTTACCAAGAAGCCACTTAAAGCTGAGAAACTTGGAGTCTTCTTTTCCATTGCCCATGATTTTTAAGATAGGGGGATGCGAGCACTCCAGCATCACTCGCAGCAAGAAGGAGCATATGATTAGCAGAAACAAAACTGCAATTAGGAAGAGGCAGTAATAGGCATCTGCATGAAACATGCCCTCAGCGTGAAATCCTATTACAGGGAACTGCTGTCTGCCTGGATGCAAGGGGCCAAGCAGCCTTTCGGCTATAGGATTTTGGCACCGGATTTGTGAAATGATCACGATTACAAACAAAAGCCCCAACACGACGGGATGCACACACCACTGCTGAGCTGGCCCCAGCAGAGCTGGATACCAGAGGGTCGAGGAGGTGAAAAACAACACGAGTTCCCAGGGTTACTCTGGGGAAGGGGAGCAGGCACACAAGCTTACCTTGGGGAGAAGGGGAGACCTGTGCCAAGAGGAGAGGAGGAAAAAACAGACTGCAAAGGTTGCGCAAGGGCAGGGGAATGGATCGAGACAGGGTACAGAAGGCAAGGGGAGAGGCTGACAGGCAGTCCAGAGGCACAGGCAGGGAGATAAACAGGTCACACTTGATAAACAGCCAGGCTATCCATGCAGGGCGTGACTTCAGCAGCAGCGACCAAGCTGAGACCATCACGCTCCGAATGCAAAACCCATGGGAGTGGCAATGAGGTGCCTGGAGACACGGTTCAGTTATCTGCCTGTCGGTGCCTGTTACCTTGCTCTAGCGGCAGCAGTGCCATTTCCTGAGATGGGGTCCTGCCTAATTAACTCAAAAACTAAGCACTAGGTGTACAGGGAGACCCTGGGAGTAAGGGTCATTTCAAAACACGTTTTGGTGTTCACAGTCCCTGGGTGAAAATGGATTTTTCTCTTTCTTCATCATACTGCCTCCCCCTTTAATTATATAAACTAGAGATATGAGTATCAGTATCAATTCCCACTTCTGGCAACCCCAATTTTTTCTGCTGCAAGTTGCCAAAAGTTACATCAGTTTTCCGCAGAAGCAATTTTTTGGATTGAGGCGTATAACGCAATTTTCCTCTTAAAAATACACAAATGTTTCAATTCATCCTTCTACCAAATGCACATATACATATTTCTTCTGTTCTCCTTTAGAGCAAATGCCCTCAAATCTTCCTCAGGTTTGGAGTACTTCACCTATAACTAAGCTTTTCTAACATTATTCTTTTTACTACCCACATGTCCTGATTCTTCAACCATAAAAAGGGAGGAGAGAGAAACGGGGAACATGCCATCGCTTGCATCCAGTGATCCAAGCTCACCTTGATGCACAACGGTCCATATTTTACTGCCCAGCGACACGCTCAAAGGGCTAATACAAACCAGTTGGCTCCGGCTGTCCCCCTCTCTCGAGCTGGGTAACACATACAGCAGCACGTCACATTAGCGTACGAAATCAGGTTCTGGGACCCCCAAAGCATCATTAAAACAAGCCTTGACAAGACAGGCCAAAGTGAGATGGCAGCTAGTGGACTGCAACTCTCAAGCAACTCTCAAGCAACTCTGGGCATCACTAACAAAGCTTGCTGCAAAACCTGCCTGTTGCAATCATTTGTGCTCTTCGCACGCTCACTTTCTTAAACTACCCGGAGAAACAAGCCATGTACATGCTGACCGGGGCTAAACCGCACTTCTTCCCTTCTTGACCTTCAAATGCTTCAAATAACACACACAAGCAGTTTCTTCTCCTTTCTTCCCCAACTAAATCCCATAAAAATTTGCTATTTCAGGTTAACAGTCTTGATTCACTATGTGAATCTTACTGGCAGATAAAAGTATCTAAATATTGTGGCTTTGCAATATATTTTGGGGGAAGAAAAAGCTCCCACTTTTTGTGAAATAATCCATTTCTGCATGTGCATTTGCTGTTAATATTTATCGGAAAAACTGCGAGTCGAAAGCCTCCTGATAGAAGGCTCATTCTCTAGTTTATTGTCACTGTACAAACCGTAGATTTCTTATATCTTTTCTGTATCACATACAGAAAAAGCATAAAGATCCTGACGCTCGCTTCATCTCCCACTGAGCTGGAGACACTCAGCCAAAGAGTTAATGTAATTCAGCAGCACACCTGAATCTCAACTCATTTACTCCTGTTGCGGATTTGTCCCAGTTTCTGTATCTAGAAAGCAGATGTGTCCCTTGCACAGCTCCGAGTTTTTCAATAAAAGTATCAGAGGAAAAAAAAGTGAGACTTTAAATATTCTTAAGGCATCATGTCTTATTTAAAAACTACTTGCAGATTGGCAGGCAGCTCGTAAAATATTTATGGGGCAGATTATAAAAGTGAAGTTGTAAAATGATCCCTATATAGGTTTATAAAATATAAAACGGACGGGTAGAAAGATGAAGAATCCAGCTGGGAAACCAATGCCCACTGCCTCGCATGGCAGAAGCCAATTCACAGAGAAAAATCCTTGAAGAAACAAGGCAGGAAGATGCTTGCTCTCCCTGGACTGATGGAGATACTTTGCATCTGACCCTGTGCTTTGGGGTGCCCTTGCTGGGTGGTGTGTGGCCCCTTGGCCACCCGAGGCATTCCCAAAAAACCACAGAATGCCCAAGGGAAGGAGTTTCCATCTCCCTAGCTGGGGCCAGCACTCTGGTCACAATCCAGGCAGGACACAGTCAGGGGACTGTGGAGCTGGACCTCGGACATCCAAGCCCTAGGCAGTGATGTGGGAGAGTCTTTATATACTTTTTTTAGAGGCACAGGCCAAAGCATTACTGCTTTTAGACAGCATTTAGACGTCCCCGATGAGGAAAGGGACCTCACCTTGCTAGGTGCAGTCAATACCACCAAACGGTTTGTGCCCTGATTGCAGCATGCAATCTCCTGTCCCAGTCCTGCAGAGATTTATACTTGTATTTAATATCTCATATATAAAATAAATTAACTCTGTGCACTTCTCTGAAACAGAGACAAAATGCCACTTGTTTTTCAGGGGTGAGACCTTTACTCAGCAGCACATCTTTTACAATAAATCAACTTCGAGGAGGAATGCATCCAACCCATCTCAAGCTGTCACTTTACAGGAGGTTTGCGAGGACCACAACGTTGTTGTTTACAAGGGGTTAGTGCTCATTTCAGACTATTTATTCCAAGATGTTAAAGCAATAAGGCTGCATACGTGTTGCAGGGCAGGACCGCATTCCACCCAGAGGAACAAACAAACAGGGCTCTGTCCATCTGGCCAAGATCCTGTTGCCTCAGCTCATGTGTGGAGACAATAACTTGTTCAGCAAATAGTTTTATCTTGAATAAACAACACCGATACTGAGAGCCAGAGGCAAAAGTCTACCTCTAGCGACGTTGGTCCGTGTTCAGCATTCGCCTTTGCTGCCTGCAGTCCTAGAATATGTTCAGTATCACAAAACCAGGGAATACTCAAGGGACCGGTGTAAAACAAACAGCTTTTATACTGGAAGTTGTCTCCTCTTTTTCTGTTCACTTTCCTCCTGCTTTTTTGATGTCTATAATGAGTTACTTCCATTGCACTGGACAAAACCTTCACCTGGAGTAACTTGGAGCAACCCATGCAGGTTGGGAATTTGACTCTGATTCAACTCCTCTATCTACTCTCAAAGTCCTATAATTTGGAGAGCAGGATCAGAAGAGCAGTAAAAGGTTTTGAGATGACAAGCTAAGACCTTCGGCTCAGTTCAAAGATTCACTAGATGGCTGGCCCGAGAGGAACCAGGGCAGGTTCCCTTCCTAAGGGCTGCAGGCTCACCGTCTTCTCAGCTGCTTTCCCAGCCACTGCTGTCCCCCTCTACAGGGTGCGACTCTGCCTTCGACCTCCGATTAACTTGGATGCCTTACAAAGGAAGTTTCACAATTCCAGCAGCGGTATTTTTAGCCTATAGTCTTTCCCTGCCTTCACACTGAATGACTCCCTGATTTCCTAAACCTCCACCAGAACAATTAAAAATAATTTAAACAAGATACCGTTTCCCCCTCTCGCAGGAAGCTCCCTCTGAAATGATCTCCATAAATCTCTCTAAAGAGGTTGTCATGCCATTCCCATAGCACAGCCGACTGCGTCCGTGCCTTGAAGTCACTTTTCCCATTTCCCCCTCCCAGCTTGCTGCCACATTAGTCTCTCCGCAGCTTAGGAGGAAACTTGCAGAGGGTGTTTTCCAGGTCAGCCAAGTTTTTCCTATGTCTCTCTCTTCTTCGTAGCCATCCAGTCCATTCCCGGTCTCCTCTGAGAAGTATTTTTGATTGCTGCCACTCTCTGGTTGGGGGCCTTGCTGAGGACATTGGAAGCATGACTCCCAGCGAGGGACTGCTCGTGCACTGGTGGCACAGGCATGACAGACAACAGGAGTACTGGGAGGTTTTCGTTTAGTGCAATCATTGCCAAACCGGTGGCTCGCAGGAACGACTGCATGAACCAGAAGAACATTTTGCAGCCAAACACTTTGAGCTGAGAAGCCTCACTTGCTAACCCTGCTCTTAAGCCCTCAAAAGTCACAAAACCCAATTTAAAAACGCTCTGGCAGGGGAAAAAAAAAAAGCTTTCTGATTTAGGGCCTTTGGGATTTGCATTTGCAAACTCCTCCCTGGTTCAGGCCTCTGTCAGAGCCAAAATACAGCACTAGAGGACCCAGAAATGGTCCACCTTGGTGACTGCTGTGCCCCAAAGCCAGGGACTGCTGTGACCCAGCTACCATCATGCAAAGCCTCAGCATCCCCCAGAAAACACAGTGGAAGAGCTTCACACCTCTGGTCCAGCTATGCTGCAAAACCTTCCCAGTTTAACAACGCACGCTCCTATGGTCTCAAGCAGCTATCTGATGGGGATGGTGATTCATGAGTCTCCTAGGAGGCTTAGGAAGATCTCTGCCTGCACAGATTACAGCCAATTCAGAGACCTAAAACACATTCCCTTCAGGGAGCAACTCAACTCACGTCCTGTCAAACCAACAGAAATTAAAATCACTCTTCCTTTGATTAGTTAGAAAAGAGGGGAGAGTACAAGAGAGCAGAAATTGGTGAGGCAGCCCAGATGATGGCAGAACGGGGCAGCATGCAGCATGGACACACAGCTCTCGACACCCGCAGAGATATGTCCAACGCTGCTGGAGCATATCGTTGGCAAACAGCATCATGTCATTGCTGTGTATGTCATACATTGACATGTATGTCGATGACATACAGTTCGTTTCACTGACATGCATGTTACATGCCACTAAACACCCTTCCATTCCCGCCTGTCCCCTGCCTCCTTTCTGGGGGCAAATTACCTCCCCTGCCCTTCTTGGTGACAAGAAGCAGAATTTGATGAAGTGTCCAGCATACGTGATGTTTTATTATGACATTTATTATGACATTGCTGGTGCGGTGTCTGGATTGATCACGGCATAACATAGCACGTTTTTTTTCCCTAGGAGCCCTGCTGGAGACACACTCTGCTTCGGGTCACACTATTTCCAGTTGTTTATAGACAAGCTGGGTGCAGAGATCGGATGAGAAAGTGATTTCCAGGCCAATACAAGAAAGGGAGGGAGAGGCAGACTGTGCACAGAAAACATGGAGGGAGGACACAAAATAGGAGCCAGCACAGGTGGGAACACTGACCATGTTAGGCTCGGATAGGCAACAGCACGCAGAGAAGAAGCCCACCCACAGCCATGATCGCAGCAACTGAAAAGCAAACAAAAAGGCCCAGGATAAGGAATAATCCCACTGCCCTGGCAAGGTGCAAATACATTCCCGACATTTTTATATGCACTTCTTCCTTTTTATTGCAATTATTATTTGGACCTTAACACCCTGGGCTGCAAGAATTTCATGGCATGTACTACCGTTGGGGAAAAACGCCTTGGGGAGAGCGTATAGATCCTGGTCTTGCAAAGCAATTAACCATGTGCTTCCTGTACTTGAGTACCACCGTTAGGATTAATGGGGCCACCCATGTGCTTAAACTTAAGCACCTGCCTTGGAGCAGGCAAAGTGACTTTTTCCACAAGCATGTGTGCGGTACAGTTACAATTTCCTTTAAAAAAAAAAAGCGCTGGATGAATGCAAGCCCTGCTTTTGCAGACCCTTATGTATGTACTCAACTCACAGAGCCCCTTCTGGGTCTCCTTGTATCAGGGAAGCTTTATAGGCGCATTACGTATCTGCAGAAGCAGGACCTTATGAGTCGTGTGAGAATATTCAGCCTAAATAAACTCAAAATGTGGTGAGTTGAAAGGCACTGCATGCGTCCACAGCTTGCTTTTGAAGGCTGCCGAGCCATTACTCTAGTCTAATCAGAGTATGGGTTGCCTGGCATCAGTCCGTAACCCGAGGCTGGCTGCACCTCAGTAATTGCCCTTTATCCTTGTCAGAGAACTTGCATGTACAATTTTTCTGTTACCAAATCTATTAAGGTAATTCATCCTGAAAAAGAACATAGTGCAGAAGAAACAGCAGGAAGAACTTCAGTATGAGGCATACAAGCAGAAGCCCAACGGTGCAGACATACTCTGGTTAAAGTCAGCTGAAGATCTCACTCATCATTTCTCCTCAAATCATCATAACATGTCATTCTTGAAAAAAAAATTGTGCCCATCAGATTTTTATAAAGCATAACTTACAATGCCTAAACACATTAAAATAGCCTATTTAGGCAAAATTAACATTCTGCAACTGCACTGCCTTAAATTATGATGCAAAATAACTTCAGGCATGCAATGATTTACAGAATTATATACTGGATTATGTGCTTACTTAAATTAGAACTGGTGAAGAATGTCTCTCTAAGCTCCTTTTGCATCAGCAAAACAACGTGCTAACATTTTCTAGACAGCGATGCCAATATTTTTTTACTATAATTGACAACATTTTGTATTTTCATAATGCCCCAGCTTGTGCAGTCATAGTAATACGGGGGCAGCTCAGCCTTTACTAAACCTCTCCATTGATCCAAGTTAACACTGGAGGTCCAAAATCTAAAAGCACACAAAGGGAACCCAAGCATTATACATTTTGAGTCAATTTTGCCATTTTCTGGGTTTAACCTCACAGGATTTGAGCGCAGGGAACTGGTACGTCTCCAGAAGATCACTGTGGCTGTGATGACTTAGCTTCCATTTTAGCTAGGAGGCCCTTTCCCCCCAGGCATTTTCTAACAGTTGCTGCCACCAGACCTTCCCACACTGCTCAGCATGTGAAGTCAAGGTTTTTGAAACAACAGTTCTATTAACCTGAAAAGCAACCACTGCCTTAAAACGAAAACAGCTCCCTGTTTTCTTAAACAAAGAAAACTCTCTGAGCACCTCATCAGCAACTGGGCTGCTCTGAGACAAAATCAGTTCCTGCACTGAATGCAGAGTGCTTCAGATCTCACTCCCTCTCTTTACGGGGAGGGAAAAAAAGCTCAATTGCAAGGGAAATATGCTTCAGTGCAGCCTTACCCCTGCACACCCATCACATAACGCTGTGCACTTAGGGTCAAAATACTCTGAAGTGTAACATTAGGGGAAATCTAAAGCTCTTAGAAACAAACTACACTGGATCAGCAGACAACAAAATTCACTTTCCAGTCCCAGGAGCACTTGGATAGGTAAGTGAATGGACTACTTGGCCTGAACAGTTAGGACAAAGGAAGATTTATTACTGCTCTTGTTAAAAGGATGGCTTGATTTGGCAGACAAACTTCAGAATATAAAAATCCTGAGGCAAATAAAACCGGATGTTACACTCCAGCAAACTGCCATGCCCTCATGGTCACTGCATTTGGGTGCTGATGGCTTCTAGGAGGGGCAGAGTTTCCCCATCTCCTCGCTCCACACAGGGCTTTCTCAGTCTAGAAGCTGAAGAACTGAAAGCACTTTCCAGACAAGATCAAATGCTGTGGCAGGATAAGAGATCGCCGCTCAATGAAATATGCCCAGACCTCTCCAGGGTTTTAAGATCTTTAGCCAGCAAGCTGACCTGTATCGGGGAGCAGTCAGAGTTGAACTGAGCACTGTATACATCAAAATTATCTGCGAAGTCTCCTCCAGCCTCACTGAATCAACCAGCAGACTATGAGGAGAGCTTGTGGGGCCTGCCCCTGGCTCCAGCGGGCAGTCAGGAGCCCCTCTGATCTGCTGCAGGTTAACAGATGACACGTCCACGTAACGGTGAAAGTTATTGAGAAAACACCTGCAGCATTAAATCCCCCCCTTTGCTGGAAAAGAATGAGGCGCTGAGGCGGCAGCGTCTCCAAAAGCCAAGCTGGCTTGAAACAAGGTGCGACTTCTGCTTCGAGCCCTGGCTTCAAGGAAAGGGCTGCAGATGGGCAGAGACAACGTGGAGGAGCCTGGAGCTGCAGCGGGACCTCCCAGACCTCTGTGGCCTGCCGGAGTTGCCCTGCTTCTTGGCTAGACCAACTCTACTGCTTTCAGTTATCTCAGGCACACAAAGCCGACACTCCTCCAGTTCTAATAAAAGTGACCCCTGCAATGCCTATGTGGTTTGCAAACCCAACTGTCCAGAGAGCACACTTTAATAAACCTGTGCTAGGATGACTTATCAACACCCCTGGCATCGTTTCAAACCCTGGGCTACATGCTTTGTTAATGAAATGAATATATATATGATAGGCCCCAATAACTGTGCCTGCAATCAATGTAATTAATTTACCACAAGTCTGCAGATGACCCAGACAGCGTTTGGAATTAAACTACATTTCTAGTGGCTAGATGCATCTCAGAGAGTCTCTGCCATAAATAGCTGTGGCTTTTAAGAGTTGTAAGTTGAAGACTTGGAGTCATGATAAATGAAAGCCTCGTTTGTTGCTTTTAATAAGCTGCTCTAATGGGATGTTCTTCAGAGGCTTGCAATTAGAGACTGAATACTTGAGGGTGCCTGGGAAGATTTTTCTAATCCTTCATGCAGCTTTGAGCGATGACAATGATTGCTTCCTGCATCTCCAGGTCAGGAGGCCAGCACTACACCTAGCACCTCGTGAGTCAACGTGTTTGCTTCAGACATCAGAGGAGCAGCATTACACACTGTGAGCTGCTAGGAATATATTCCTAATTTGCCCAGAACTATATGAATGTTTAAGG